TCTCTGATACTTCCTGGTTAAAGACCAGAACATTTTTGATTATTAGTTTGTTTTGGGATTTAAATTCTTTTTTCTTTCTTTTTTTTTTTTTTTTTGCATGACTAGATTAACCAATAGCTATGCTATTAAAAAAAAAAAGGCTATCCTTTATCTATTGTCTAGAAGGAAACAGATACTACATGGAGAAACTGGGAAGGGCTGGGAAGGGGACAACTAGGACAAGAATATACTGCTGCAGAAAGACATATCAGACTAGTTTGTGCCTATGACTTTTTCACTTGGCCCCTTTCTTAAGAAATAGATGGGGCAGTTCTTTTATAGACTTAAATTCCTGGAATTATTATGTAGTCATTTTTCAAATTTTATAAAAGTTAATTGAGAAAAATGATAAATCATAGGAAGAATTTATGGATAGTTTGGAAAATCCTTTTTTTGAATCTTATAATGAAAATGTTTCCTGTGAAATTTCATGTCAAAGCAACAAATAGCAAATTATTATGAGTGAAAATTAAAGCTTTCTTCTCATTGACCATCAGCCTCTAAGTTCTCTGGTATTGGTTAATCTAGTAATGAAAAAAAAATTTGGTCCTCTTTTTTGTCTACTACTATTAATAAAACTATATTTCTTTTTTTTTTTTAGTTATTTGATATTTAACATAACTCTGAATTAAACTATCTTTCCATTTCTCATCATCCTCTCCCAATTGTTTTTCATCATATCAAACGTTGATTTCTTAACTATATTGTTAATCCCATTCTCAGCCTTATGTCATCCTCCTCCTCCCTACTCTCACCTTTATTCCTACCTTTGCTCCCAGCACAGCTTCCTCCTGCTCTGTAATTCTTTTCTTGCCCGAGGACCCACACACAGCCTCCAGGGAGCACCTCCCAGCCCCAAACACAGTCCCAGCAATCACCTGACTCTTCTTCCCTCCCTCACATCTAATTTTCATTCATTTCATGAAGGAAGATTAGAAGGGAACTTTCCACAGGAAATAAAAATAGTTAATGTGTTTGGGGTCTATAACTATAGGTGATTTTTCTTTCTTTTTTTGTTTTACATTGTTTTGCTTTTGCTATAGGATGTTATTGGACTATACATGCTGTTTCCAAAATGTGAGCTCTGCTGGTAGAAAACTAAGCTACCACTATGTTCTGCACCGTGACTTATCAGATATGCGTGTCTGTGGTGTGTAGAACCCATTAATGCATGTATTGACATTAAGTCATAGTAGTATTTTTTTTTAAATATAATTCCCAAGTTAAGGGAGCAGAACTAGGACTAAATTTTAGTAATTCTAGCTATGTTTATTGAGTGCATGCTATGTGCCAGGTACTGTGGACTATGTCTTATTGCAAGAGTCAGAATAGTATTAATAACAAAAATTGGCCGGGCGCAGTGGCTCACACCTGTAACCCTAGCACTCTGGGAGGCCAAGGCGGGCAGATCCTTTGAGTTCAGGAGTTCGAGACCAGCCTGAGCAAGAGCAAGACCGTCTCTACTAAAAGTAGAAATAGAAAGAAATTAATTGGCCAACTAATATATATAGAAAAAATTAGGGCTGGGCGCGGTGGCTCACGCCTATAATCCTAGCACTCTGGGAGGCTGAGGCGGGCGGATTGCTCGAGGTCAGGAGTTCAAAACCAGCCTGAGCAAGAGCGAGACCCCATCTCTACTATAAATAGAAAGAAATTAATTGGCCAACTAATATATATAGAAAAAATCAGGCCGGGCGCGGTGGCTCACGCTTGTAATCCTAGCACTCTGGGAGGCCGAGGCGGGTGGATTGCTCAAGGTCAGGAGTTCAAAACCAGCCTGAGCGAGACCCCGTCTCTACTATAAAAAAATAGAAAGAAATTAATTGGCCAACTAATATATATAAAAAATTAGCCGGGCATGGTGGCTCGTGCCTGTAGTCCCAGCAACTCGGGAGGCTGAGGCAGTAGGATTGCTTAAGCCCAGGAGTTTGAGGTTACTGTGAGCTAGGCTGACGCCATGGCACTCACTCTAACCTAGGCAAGAAAGCAAGACTCTGTCTCAAAAAAAAAAAAAAAGAAAAAATCAGCCGGGCATGGTGGCGCATGCCTGTAGTCCCAGCTACTTGGGAGGCTGAGGCAGAAGGATTGCATGACCCCAGGAGTTTGAGGTTGCTGTGAGCTAGGCTAAATGCCATGGGCACTCCAGCTGTAGCCTGGGCAACAAAGTGAGACTCTGTCTCAAAAAAAAAACCCCAAAAAACAAAAATTATAAGGCCACAAAAAATCTTGAAACCAAACATACTCATCCTTCTTCCTCCTATGATTCTCTAAGAAGAAACATATTCTTTTTTTTTTTTTTTTTTTTTTTTTTGAGACGAGTCGTCACTTGTTGCCCAGGGCTTGCAGTGAGGTGCCGTGGCGTCAGCCTGAGTTCACAGCAACCTTCAAACTCCTGGCCGGGTCAAGCGCTGGGACCAGCATTGCGCACTCATGCCGGCTAATTTTTTCTATAGTATATTAGTTGGGCAATTAATTTCTTTCTTTTATAGTAGAGACGATGTCTCGGTCTGTGGCTCAGCTTGTTTCGCAACTCCTGCTTTGGCAATCCCCCGTCCGGCTCACCAGAGAGCTAGATTATCAGTGTGAGCCACACGCCGGCAAGAAACATATTCTTGAGTAAAAAAGCTGAACTTGGTTCCTGGTATAATATTTAACACTAGTGACTCTAAATGAGAGAGTATTTTTTTTTTTTTTTTTTGAGACAGAGTCTCTTTTTGCCAGGCTAGAGTGAGTGCCGTGGCGTCAGCCTAGCTCACAGCAACCTCAAACTCCTGGCTCAAGCAATCCTTCTGCCTCAGCCTCCCAAGTAGCTGGGACTACAGGGCATGCGCCACCATGCCCGCTAATTTTTTTGTTATTATATATATTAGTTGGCCAATTAATTTCTTTCTATTTATACTAGAGACGGGGTCTCGCTCTTGCTCAGGCTGGTTTCGAACTCTTGACCTCGAGCAATCCGCCCGCCTCGGCCTCCCAGAGAGCTAGGATTACAGGCGTGAGCCACCGCGCCCTAAATGAGAGAGTATTAAGCAAAGAAATTTTAATTGTTTTTTTTCCAAAAGAATGGATTTTTATTATAACACAGAATTTGACTTGTGTACAGAATGCGTGTATTTTATGCAATTTAAGGCATATAATGGTGAGAGTTGAAGATTGCTTTTTAGTTTTGTTTTTAATTGAATATGCTCTTTTTTTTTTTTTTTTTTTTTTGAGACAGAGTCTTGCTTTGTTGTCCAGGCTAGGGTGAGTGCCGTGGCATCAGCCTAGCTCACAGCAACCTCAAACTCCTGGGCTCAAGTGATCCTCCTGCTTCAGCCTCCCGAGTAGCTGGGACTACAGGCATGGCACATGCCCGGCTAATTTTTTCTATATATATTTGTTAGCCAATCAATTTCTTTCTATTTATAGTAGAGATGGGGTCTCGCTCTTGCTCAGGCTGGTTTCGAACTCCTGACCTCGAGCAATCCGCCCGCCTGGGCCTCCCAGAGTGCTAGGATTACAGGCTTGAGCCACTGCGCCCAGCCTGAATATGCTCTCTTTTAAAAGAGTATTTCCATTACACCATTAGTTTAATAACAATTTAAAATTCTTTAAAGGAAGTTTTAAAAATTGATAATTTTTAGATTAGCAAGTGGAAAACATTTAATACATCATTTAATAAAAAAACTACAAAATTATATCTCTAATTTTCTTTAATTTTCATTCATTTCATGAAGGCAGATTAGAAGGGAACTTTCCATAGGAAATAAAAATAGTTAATGTTTTGGGGGGCTATAACTATAAGTGATTTTTCTTTCTTTTTTGTCTTACATTATTTTGCTTTTTGGTATAGGATGTTTATGCAATAGCTAAAATTCAGGGATTAGGGAGAAAGCTTGGGACTTGTAATTTTTGATAAATCTCAAGACTTCTCTTGCTTCTGGCAAAGCTTGTGCCCTTATTATTCCCAGTATTTGATCTTGACCTCTAAGCAGAGCAGCCTGAAAAGGTAGGAATGGAAGGAGATCATTGTGTCTCCTGTGTCGGCATCTGAAGTCAGCATGTAGTTAACGCTGCAAATGGTACCTTCAGAGGGACAATCCTCAAGGAATATAGGATTGTAAATGCCTCAAAGCACCACCCCTTCCAGTCTGACGATCTGGGAAGCAGCATAGCAAAGTGGTTAAGAGCAACTGTGGGCCAGGCACGGTGGCTCACACCCGTAATCCTAACTAGCATTCTGGGAGGCCGAGGCGGGTGGATCACTCAAAGTCAGGAGTTCAAAAACAGCTGGAGCAAGAGTGAGACCCCATCTCTACTAAAAATAGAAAGAAATTAATTGGCTAACTAAATAATATATAGAAAAAATTAGCCAGGCATGGTGGCGCATGCCTGTAGTCCCAGCTACTCAGGAGGCTGAGGCAGGAGGATTGCTTGAGCCCAGGAATTTGAGGTTGCTGTAAGCTAGGCTGACACCACAGCACTCTAGCCCAGGCAACAGAGACTCTGTCTCAAAAAAAAAAAAGAGCAACTGTGGCCTTAACCATTAAATGTGCTTGAGTTTGTCAAGTACCAGATGTAACTTGAGCAAGTTACTTACATTTATTTATGTATAAGATGGGAAAATAATGAGATCTATATCAAGAGTTGTAATAAGGATTAATAGAGTAGATCTAGTAAGAATGTTTAGTGACATATCAAGTGCCCATTAAACGTAGCTATTTTATCCCACTTGGCTTTCCTGAATTCCTAGACTTTGGAGCTTTGCTGGAAATATTTTCTGTGCATTTCCATTTAATTCATTCATTAATTAGTTTATTGTTAATAGTTTGTTTTGCATCCATAGATGAGGTGAGAATGACCAATTTCTATATATTGTGCTAATCGGAAATCTGCTAACTGGGGTCACCTGTTTCTTTCGTAGAAGTTGTCCTGTCTTTTTCTATCTCTGCCTGTTGAAGTAACCTTCTGTTTCTTCACAGATATATGTAATTGACAGTGCCGACAGAAAAAGATTTGAAGAGACGGGTCAGGTAAGTAATTCTTCTGTTTTATATCAAAGATCTAGTATGAAAAAAATTATCATTCTGTTAAGATATTTCCCAAATAACTGAGTATTCATTAATCTACCTTATAAATGTGTGAGAGAGAAGTATTTTTTGTTGAACCTTTATATTTCAAACAGGATGGTCATTCTGGAAAATGGGCAAAAATGCCAGTTGTCTAAAAAGAAATTAGTTGGGAGTCCTTTAAACAATTTTTTATTAAAGTCTTTTGGCTATTTATTTATTTATTTTCAGAGAGAGGTAGATCTCACTCTGTTACCCAGGCTGGAGTGCAGTGGTGGAACATAGCTCACTGCAGCCTTGAACTCCTGGGCTCAAGTGATCCTCCCACCTTAGCCTCCCAAGTAGCTGGGACTATAGGTGTGCACTACCATGCCCAACTAATTTTTTTATTCTTTTGTAGAGATGGGGTCTAACTATGTTGCCCAGGCTTCAAGTGATCCTCCCACCTCAGCCTCCCAAAGTGCTAGGATTACAGGGGTGAGCCACCACACCTGGACTAAAGCCTTTTAGCTTTAATCAAATTGAATATACAAGATATAAGCAAATGGAACTTAGCACCATGCTCAAAAACTCTTTGGCATTCTTCCCGAAGAAATGAACCTCAAGGAACAATTCACTTATAATTTCTGTTTACATTTTTCAATACCCATGTAATTGATCCAGGGTTAACTTTGACTAATTTGAAAGGATGAGAAGAATTGTACAAGCCAACTAAGCCACTTTTGTTTTCAAGCCAGGGGATAAGGTGTGCCTTCAACCAAATATGGCTTCAAATGCAGGGCACATATCATCATGATTACACCATGTAATTTGTACACAGTTTTACATAGAGAAGCAAAGGGCGTAGACCATTTTACTCACAGTGGGTTCACTGATAGAAGCTGGAGGGGAGTGGATCTCTTTGGAGAAGTGTGCAGAGTCCTGGCCTGTGTCCTAAACTTTGGGAGGTGGCCTTTTAAAGGTAGCAGTCCTCATGTTTATGTTCCTTTTTCTTGGAAATTGGGTTGAGAACTCTCTAGATTCATGAAGACAACTCATCTCCCTTCTATACCCTGATAATTTCTGGATCATCACTCATGTGAACCAGTGCTAAGTGTGAGCTTGGAGGTGGAGGAGTCATATATAATCATCTGCCTTTTGAACCATCCAGTTATCTTCGAAAGCTCCAAGTGTTTTAAGTAGCCAAAATGTGGATTCAACAGGGAAGTACTTATTGCAGACAGAATGAACATATAGTTTAGATCCCAACCTATAACTTAAATATCAGGGACCTTGCCAGATGGACTAATAAAGTTATTTGAGAGGCCGGGTGTGGCAGCTCACGCCTATAATCCTAGCACTCTGGGAGGCGGAGGCGGGCAGATTGCTCAAGGTCAGGAATTCGAAACCAGCCTGAGCGAGACCCCATCTCTACTATAAATAGAAAGAAATTAATTGAACAACTAAAAATATATATACAAAAAATTAGCTAGGCATGGTGGTGCATGCCTGTAGTCCCAGCTACTCGGGAGGCTGAGACAGTAGGATCGCTTGAGCCCAGGAGATTGAGGTTGCTATGTATGAGCTAGGCTGATGCCACGGTACTCACTCTAGCCTGGGCAATAAAGTGAGACTGTCTCAAAAAAAAAAAAAAAAAGTTATTTGAGGATGTGATTTTAATGAAATGTGATATATGTGCACGCATGTTTTAGAGATAAAGACTAATGAAACAGAATTATAATCTCTAAAGCAATTGCTATTTTGAGTTTAAATTATACATACACACATACATGAAAAGTTATTTGCAAGCTGGGTGCTGTGGCTCACACCTGTAATCCTAGCACTGTGGGAGGTCAAGGTGCCTTGGGAGGACTGCTTGAGTTCAAGAGTTCAAGACCAGCCTTAGCAACAGTGAGACTGTCTCTAGTAAAAATAGAAAAATTAGCCAAGCATCATGGCACATGCCTGTAGTCCTAGCTCCTCATGAGGCTGAGGCAAGAGAATTGCTTGAGCCCAGGAGTTTGAGGTTGTAGTGAGCTGTGATGATGCCACTGCATTCTACCCAGGGCAATAAAGCAAGACTCTGTCTCAAAAAAAAGGTTATTTGTAAATAATAACCTTGAGTAAGTTTCAAATCTCTAACTACTACTTGTATTCTCCTTTGAACAGTGTTTCTCAAAGTGTGATCTATGAATCACCTGGGGATTTTGTTAAAAATGCAGATTCCTGAGCCCTGGCTCAGACTTTTCAAAGTCAGCATCTCTGGGTCAGGCTGAGGAACCTGCCAGGGAATTCTTGCACAGGCTCCAGTTTGAGAATCACTGCTCTTCAAAATTACTAGTTGATAAGCTTGACTGTTACATTTTTTTCTAATTAGAAGTGCATGGTTAAATATCATAGATTTCATCCTTCCCTCCCTCTTCTTCCTTAAAATGATCCAGGAACTAGCTGAATTACTGGAGGAAGAAAAGCTAAGTTGTGTGCCAGTGCTCATCTTTGCTAATAAGCAGGATTTGCTCACAGCAGCCCCAGCCTCTGAAATCGCAGAAGGACTGAACCTGCATACCATCCGAGACCGAATCTGGCAGATCCAGTCTTGCTCAGCTCTCACAGGAGAGGGCGTTCAGGTGAGATTACAGGACGACTTGGTCACTGGCAACATGGCAGCCAACCAAGGTGGTCTGTCTCATTGGTTAGGCTGATCTAGATAGAAAAAGGTATGAAACAAATAGATGAACCATTCCAAGATGAGAGAGCATGGAGGCATATGGGTCTTTTCTACTTAGAAAGCAATCAGATATCATGACATGTTTCAAGAGAGCCACAGATAGGCCATCCCACATATGCAACAAGCTTTCCCTGTCGGGTAGAATGTCAGAACAGAAGACTTTGAATATTGTTTCTAACTCTAGGATTCTTGATGATTGTGTTGGGGTTCTGTGTTGTGTCTAATATTATGGATGCTACATATCTGTATGCCCAAGGTGATGACTATTGATAATCATATACATATTGGTTATCCTAGAAGTGTTTTTGTTTCTTATGTTGGTTATCTCCCCTGCTTTCTGGGTTGGTGTGTGTCTGCTGCTACTTACAGTTGATTTCCCACTGGGAGTCCTCTGCTGACAGAAAGCCTCATGCTTTGTACTGAAGAACTCCGTGCTGGAAGAGCAGGCTTCTCCTCATTTAATATTAATTTAGGGCAGAAAACGGTTATATCTCAGACACCCAAGAGGCTGTATCATCAAAGAATGATAAACAGTTTCAGCTCTGATGCCTCCTCCCAAGCAACCTCAAATCAGCTGACGCTCTGGAGTCAGCCCTCCGGGACGACTCTTACTCCGAAGCCCCCAGCCTGCTCCACTTGCCTCGTGTTAGGCGTCTGGTGTAACTGCCAGGGGTGTCACACGGTGCTGTCAGAGCGGACAGTACTGCTCCAGGTTAACCCTATCTAAGGCAATACCATCTTCCCTCGATGCCATATGGCATATGTCTCTCACAGAGTAGCCTGTTTGCTTTCTCTGACCTTGGAGTGTTGGGATACCAGGGGTGGATTCTCAACCACTGTCCCGCGCCTTCTTTCCATTTCCCTTCTAATATTTTTCTGCCCTCTCTCCTAAAACATTTGACACTGATTTATCTTAAAACAGCCTGTCTACTTTTATCCCAAGCAAATAATCACTTCCTAGAATTATCTCAATTCTGTCAGGTTTGCTGATTGATTTTTTCTTTTTTAAGAGATGGGGTCTTCGGGCATGGTGACTCATGCCTATAATCCTAGCACTCTGGGAGGCTGAGGCGGGAGGATCATTTGAGGTCAGGAGTTCGAAACCAGCCTGAGCAAGAGCAAGACCCCGTCTCTATTATAAATAGAAATTAATCGGCCAACTAAAAATATATATAGAAAAAAATTAACCGGGCATGGTGGCACATGCCTATAGTCCCAGCCAATCGGGAGGCTGAGGCAGAGGGATTGCTTGAGTCCAGGAGTTTGAGGTTGCTGTGAGCTAGGCTGACGCCACAGCACTCTAGCCCGGGCAACAGAGTAAGATTCTGTGTCAAAAAAAAAAAAAAGAGATGTGGTCCAGCTGTGTTGCCCAGGCTGGAATACAGTGGGTATTCACAAGCACAATAATGGTGTTAACTCCTGGCCTCAAGCAATCCTCCTGCCTGAGTCACTGGAGTAGCTGGGACTATAGCTGTGCGCCACCATAGCAGCGTTGCTTGGTCTTTTTGCTACGCAAATAGCCAGGGCTTATTCTGTGCTTGGCTTCTCTATCTGAGGGCAGACAGCATGGGCCAAGCTCCCTGTCCTCAGACCACTTAATACCTGCACCCTTAGAAACTCTTTGTGCATGCTCGTGTGTTGTGGGGGCGCCTAATCAGCCAGTGGTTACTTCAGCCATGTAGGCAAAATGGATTCTGGAGCTCTGTAGGTCTCTGTGAGGTTTGGCTTTTGAGGAGAGATTTTTTGGTCTTATTTATTTCCTTCCTTCCTTCTTAAATTCTGATTATAAAAGTAATGTATTCTTACTGTTAATTATATAAAAGCATATAGGCCGGGCATGGTGGCTCACGCCTGTAATCCTAGCACTCTGGGAGGCTGAGGCGGGCAGATCGCTCAAGGTCAGGAGTTCAAAACCAGCCTGAGCAAGAGCAAGATGCCATTTCTACTAAAAAATAGAAATGAATTGGCCAACTAATATATATATTAAAAAAAATTAGCCGGGCATGGTGAAATTGTACTATCATTCAACAAACCACATTTTGAGGTTTAAAATGAGCCACACACAGGTTTATCATAGTTTTCTGTCTCTGTGTGGTAATTTTCCAGTCTATTCCTGTGGTCCAGGTAAAGTTTAAATGAAGAGAAGAAAAAGAATAAGACAGCATGCATCCATTTATCCATCTATTCAATCAAGTACTCTCTAAAATGTATTATATATCCTTCTAGGAGAATATGAAAAAAAGGTTGGGGGAAAAAAAAAAAAATTTTCCTTTTAAGTCAAAAGAAACTCTGTAATCTCACAAATAGTGTCCATTCTTCAACATAATAATTTTTTTAATTTTAAGATAATTTCAAAGGTAATGCAAAGGTTTGAAAAATAGTAAATGAAATCCCAGATACCCTACCCATCACCACAGCGTCTAAATTTCAGTGTTTGACGCAATCTTGTTTCATCTCCATCACATATTTTATTTAAGTTATTTTAAAGCAAATTCCAAGCCATCATATTATTTATGTCACTCACAAATACTTGAAGTATAATTCAAATACATCAGTTTCTAAATTGTTATATGAAACTATTAATGTTAAGAAATAACTAATATTAGAGAATTTTTTAAATCACACAAGGAAACTCCTGGAACTAATGATATAGCTAGGATTTAGATATAAGTAATATAACAAAAGTTAGTTGCATTCCGTTATATCAGCAATGAACAGTAATTAGAACTTGGAAATTAAAATCAGAATACCTCTGCACCTCAATAGAATGAAATATTTAGGCCATAAATCCGAACAAAATACTATCAAGGATGTCAGTTATACCTCAATGTGATATATGATTCCCGATGCACTCCCATCAAATCCCAGGAAGGTTAATTTTGGGCAATACTGACAACACTGATCTAAAGTTTATATGGAAGGCAAAATGATTCCCATACGCCACATAGACTGAAGAAGAACCAATGTGAAGGACCTGACACCACCTGACAGCAAAACTTAACTATTAATAGAAACTGGAGTACATGCAAGACGGCATGTATCAGAGAAAGAATCAGACGAATTGATGAATGGAACAGAATAAGAGACCTAAAAATAGACCCACATGAATATAGCCAACTGATCTTTAACACAAGAGCAAGACAATTCAATGAGTAATGGAATAATCTTTTAGCAATCCGGTGCTGAACAATGGGACGATCCCACAGGAAAAATTTAAAAAAAATCTATACACACAACCTATACCCTTTCACAAAAGGTTAACTCAAATGTCAAAATGGCTCTACACCTAATTGAAAACTTCTAGAAGATATACATAAGAGAACATCTAAGTCGACTCTTGGTAGGTGATAAGCTTTCAGATATACCAAACACAATCAATCCATGGGGAAAAAGTACTTGAACTTTATTCAGAATTATCATTTCTGTTCCTACACAAATACCACTGTTAAGAAGAATGAAGAGCAACCACAGGACTGCGCCGAGAAATATTTGCAAACACATATGTGATAAAAATGTCCAAATATACAAAGAACTCAAAACTCAACAATAAAAAACAACCTGAATTTTTTTTTTTTTTTAAGACAGTGTCTCACACTGTTGCCTGGGCTGCAGTGCTGTGGGTCAACTAGCTAACAGTAACCTGAAAACTCCTGGGCTCAGGCGATCCTCCTGCTCAGCCTCCCAAGTAGCTGGGACTACAGGCATGGTGCCACCATGCCCGGCAATTTTTTCTATATTATTTTAATTGCCAATTAATTTCTTTCTATTTTTAGTAGAGACGGGGGGGGGGTCTCACTCTTGCTCAGG